ATCCTGTCAGGTTTGCTGTCCAGCTGAAATCCGCGACGACACGATCCCCGAAGGGAGGTCCTGACAGCTTCTCTGCCCAGCAGAAGTACGTGGCGATGCGGTCCCAGAAGGGAGATCCTGACCTTCGAGCCGCCCTGCCGAGGTAGCCGTTTCGCGCGTCTGCCCTGCTGGCGCACGCAGAGGAGGCGATTGCGCAAATCTTCAGCGCGCGCGATGCCATTCTCCCAGCCGGCCTCGAGGCCGGACGCGCCTCGTGGGCCAGCTTCGGCGGAAGCTCCTCCTTGCCCTCGCAGGCCTCCGTGAGAGCTCTGAACTTCTCCAGCTTGAGCTCCATGGCGAAGTGCCTATTCTCGCTGTCCAATGGAGCCTGTGACCTAGACCCCGCGGAAAGGCGCTTCCTGCCCACGTCGACGGCGGTTCCGATCGCCTCCAGGAAGTCGCGGCCGAGGGGCGAGGAGAGTCTGCTGCCCTTGACTACGCAGACCCGCACGTGCACTGGGCTTCTAGCCACCGCAACCGGGAACCTGAGCGCCTCGCTCGCACGGCGCGAGCGCCCCATCGCGCCCGAGCCGGACCCTCTTGACCACCGTCTCGCGCCCGACAAGCCCGTCAAGCCCGAGCTCCTTCAAAAATTCCATGTAGGCCTCGCACCAGACGTCGCCCATGACGGACGTGACGCACCCCGTGGCAACCGCGACGCCAGGGTGATCCTTGACCAGCCTGACCAGCTGGCCCCCGAGAACCTCCTTCCCGAGCTTGGGCAAAGGGGCCCCGGCAGAGTGGACCGCAAGCGCCTCGCGCGCCGAGACCGAGTCTGCGGCGCCAGTCTCCGTGACCCAAGCGCCTCGTCCGGCAGGCGCCTTGCATTGGAGGTCGCCGCCCGCCCAGTGGCCAATCCTGCCGCGACCCATGCAAGCGGACTTATTCTTGTGTTCCTTGAGCTTGTCAGCGAGGTCGCGGCCCTCGCCCGTCTTGACGCCGCCGCCGGAAGGCCTTGGCGGCGGGGGAGCTCTGCGACCCTTGCCGCGACCGCCTCGGCCCTTGCCACGGCCGCCCTTGCTGCTGAGCTTGCAGCGGGCGTCGCGCATGACCTCGAGCGCCTCGGGGAGCTGCAACACCTGAAGCGCCGACTGCTCGAGAGCCGTGGTCTGCTCGGCCGGGAAGTCGACCTGGGGCTCCTCAATCTCCGCCCCGAGCACCTCCAGCTCGTGCCTCACGAACCCCTGGACGTCGCTGATCTGCACCTCGTTGACCTCGTTGGCCTCGCCGGCCTCGTCGCACTCCTCGTCGTGGTACTGGTCCTCTTCCTATGGTTCGTCACGAACGCCTCGTTCTGTGACCATGGCGTCTTCCGACGAGCCTCCATAATGTCCGCCTCGGCGTTGCTGCCCTCGATCGCCACCGCGTCCCTCAGGGAAACTGGGGGGCAGCCTCTGTGGATCGTTCACATGCAGGTCCTGAAGGAGCCTGACCCTGACTACGATCTTCTTCACGTCAGTGAACCTGTACTTCTCGTCTGGGAGGGCCGCCACGACTCGTTCACGCCTCTCGGCGCTGTGATTGCACTTTTTTCAGAAACCACCAGCCGAGAACGTCCTCCTGGTCCGCGAACTGCACGCTGTCGTCCTCCAAACGCTGGAGGCCCTCCTCGAACCTTGGAATGAAATTCGTGATCCTCTCGCCGCTCATCGGGTCGACCTTCTGCGACTCGAACAACTCTCCCATGGATTCTCCACGTCGCACTGCCTGCTGGGGCTTGAACGCAGCCTCGAGCGTCAACAGCACGTTCTTCATGCCTCGCATGCTGTCCGCGGCCTGCCTCTCACGAGTGATGCTCCCGTCTCCGTCCTGCTTTTCCTCGATCGCCTGGGCCGCCTCCAAATCCTCTCGAAGAATGCGGGGCCCGACGCGCCTCCCGGCTCCCTTGAGCTTTGACACGAAACGGGCGGCTACGCAGTAGTGAGCGTCAAGGTTTGTCCCCAGCGCCCAGATCTCGACGTCATCCCTGTAGCGTGTCCAGCCCTGCGGCGCTCCATCCCAGACCAGATTGAAGGAGTAGCCGTCGCCGTCGCCCTGGGACGCTCTTTCCGCCATCGTGCAGATGACTTGGCGGAACCTGACCACTTGGATGAAGGTCATGCTGAGTTTCAACTGATCTGATGATGGGGCTGCGCCGCTGCCCTCGTCCCGCGCGCTGCCAGCATCCAGGTTTCAGCCCAGGCCTGTGTTTATCTGTCGCCCAGCTCGGGCGGAGACCGTAAATTGTCAAGGGCCCTGAAGGGCGCCAAACGGCGGCGGAGAGCAGGATGGGTAAGGGCAGGCCAACGGGGGAGGAAGAAATGAGGTGGTAGGGGTATTGGCGGGCCCCGACTCTCTCAGGCTCTTGGCCCCATGGGTAGCTGCACCGAAGCACCCACGGGCATCAGGCTCCACATGGCGGCGCCGACCCATTTTGTCGCACCCCTCACACGGCTCGTGGCCTCAAGGGGAGCTCAGCCGCAGGCCCCACAGGCAGGGCAGACATGGCGGCGCCGCCCCCTTTCGGCGCATTATGTTGACGCACCGCTCGCACGGTTCGTGGCCCCGCAGGGACCTGAGCCGAAGGCCCCAATGGCGGGGTCCACTTGGCGACGCAGCTCTATTTTGGCGCAACCCTCAAAAGGTTCGTGGCCCCACAGGGAGCTCAGCCGACGGCCCCCACTGGCAGGATCCACATGGCGGCGCCGTTCTTTTTTGACGCATCCCTCACACGGATCTTGGCCCCACAGGGATCTCAGCCGAAGGCCCCACTGGCAGCAGGCTCCACATGGCGGCGCCGCCCCATTTTGGCGCACCCCTCAAACTGTTCGTGGCCCCCTAGCCCCAGGAAGCCACACCCAAAGAGGTGACACAACACACACACACCCACAGTACTCACAACTGCATTTGGTTGGGTCCATCGCCAGGATCAATTTCGGCGCTCCCACGGAAGCGAAGGACCAACTCACTTGTCAGGTCAGCTGGATATGAAAATGCTTGGAACGTAAGGGCAGCATCTATGTCACGTCGGCCAGACGGCCCCTATCAGCGCGCTCCTGCTGCATAGCTACAGCGCCCAAGGCGATTCGGTAACACGCGCAAGCTGAAAACGACGCGCGTGTCACTGATACTCTTGCTCTGTGCTACCATAAGGAATACTGGGTACGGAACGATGGATTTTTTCTGACCGCGGCGAGCCTCGGCCACGAATAGATCCCCCAACTTGCGTAGATCTACGGAACGGCCCAGACCAGAGCCCCTCATGAACCCGAAGTGGTCCTTAGTTTCGCGTCCTAGCTTTAACCTTCCCAAGCTGTGAAAGGTAGACGGGCTGCAGGGTCTTCAAGGGCCCTATCGACGCCTCGGCCAGGAGACTCCAGGCGCTCTCGTGGAGAACACTGGGCGATATGTCGCCTCGAATTTCTCGCCCTGGGACCTTCGCGGATCGACCGGGTCCGCAAAACGCTGCAGAAAGCTGTAGCGTAAAACTCAGGGTGTGATGTCTCACGATGTTGTTCCCGACCATCCTGTAGTGTCGGGTCCTCGTTTGAAAGAGACTCGGCCCGCGTCCTTCTCTCTCCTCCTCCTCTTCCCCTTCCTGCCTCTCCCCATCCATGCCTCTGCCCTCGGCACTGCCTCTGGAATCCGCAGATCCCTTACACACTTTCTTGCCCCCATAGGGACCTCCAAGTAAGGCCAAACTGCCAGGGTCCGCATGGCGTCGCCGCCTCATTTTGACACACCCTTCACACGTTTCGTGGCCCCGTTGGCAGCTCCGACTAAGGCCCAACTGTCAGGGTCCGCATGTCGTCGCCGCCTCATGCTGGCACAGCCCTCACACGCTTTGTGCGCTCACAGGAAGCTCCAACTGAGAACCACATGTCAGGGTCCGCATGGCGTCGCCGCCTCATTCTGGCACAACCCTCAAGCGTTCCGTGCCCGCACAGGGAGCTCCAGCGAAGGCCCACATTCCAGGGTCCGCATGGCGTTGCTGCCTCCTCCGGAACACCCCTCACACGTCCACGTTTCGGGCCTCCACAGGGAGCTCCACCAAAGGACCAACTGCCAGGATCCGCATGGCGTCGCCACCTCATTCCGGCACAACCCTCACGCGTTTCCCTGAATGACGGTACGCACAATTGCATATGGTTGGGTCTTCCGACAAGGTAACTTTTCGCGACGTCGGATCTCCAGGCCCCGGGCCCTGGGCCATGCCGCGAGACAAGGCAAGCCGCGAAGATGCTCCCAAACCTCGGGTCTGCAGAGAAGGGCGGGGGGATCCGGTCCCCAAGGCTCCCAGACCCGGTTGTGCCAGCCAGCTGTGCCAGTTGGCCGAGCTCCAACAGAGCTCCTGCGCCCTGGGTGAGAGTAACGAACGTCGGCACCATCACCATCGCCAGGAGCCAGGTGGCGGGGGTCCTCCTAGCGGTGTGGCCCACCTGTTTTGTGGGATCCCGCTCGAGGCTCTTTCCGCCCGTTGTCCAGCTCGGGGGTGCATCGTGCGGAGCTCCTCGCTGAAGGTGGCCCTGTGGTAACGGTGGGGGTGCTCTTGCTCCCTCTGGCCAGGGGCTCCAGAACTTCAGCACCCACTTGCACCGAGAACCCCATACCCGAGCTTTGGGGGGACGAAGGAATACCGATGCCGCTGCTCCCCGGACCTCTCCTGGGGTGCGCAGAACATCGAGGAGAGTCCAGCCGTGGCGACGGAAGCTCCCCAGGACGAGCAGCGGTATCGGGACCTGCTCCTCATCGAGAATGCAGGGCGGGGAGACGTAAGGCTTGGGTTCGTGGGACTCGGGCTGGCCTGACGTGGCCGACAAGAAAATTGTGACCCAATATGATCTTTGACACGACCTCCCGCTGCAAACGTCCCACGACAATTGGACTGTCAAAATTCAGGACGGGCCCGTCAAAAAGAGTCTGCAAACCATAGTTTCGGCGAATTCGAGTCTTACGCTTCTCCGATTAAGGCACCTGCGAGCTCCTGGCGTGGATGGGCTCAACCTGGGCGAACTCGGCGAAGAGTGCCTCGAGCTCAGGCTGCTGTAACTGCGGGAAGGGCAATCGAAGGACGCGGTAGAGAGGGCCATCGAGCGGTGCGGATAACTCCCGTCATGTCGACGCGGGCATTGTTTGGTGTCTGTTCCATTGGAGCAAACGTGGCCCCCGGCGCTTTCTGATTTGAATTGGATGTGGAACATGTTTGGGACCAAACTTGGACCAGAGTTGGACCGGCTTCAAAAAGGGGAACGAGCAGAACGTAAAGAACGAGGAGAAGGACGAGGAACAGGAAGGGCGAGGAGGAGGAGGAAGAGCCAAATGCGGTCCAGATGCTGTCCATTGCAGGAAAACCAGATTCCAATGTCGACGCCCGAGACTCCAATGAGCAGACGTCGAAGCGTTGGCCTCTGGCACAACGTGGATCCTAGCTTCCCAGAGTGAAGAAATCCATAGACATAAGCTTTTGGACCTCCGCAAGAAATTCTTGGATCGGCGCTGGCATCCCCTGGCAGCGCCCGGGGGGGACGCGACGACCATGACAAGGTGAGATGGAGGGATGCGTGAACTCCTGGCCGCGACCCGCTGCGAGGGAGCGGACTGAGGCGAAACAGAAGCAGAAAAGACTGAACGCGGAAAATGTCGATGTCTGTCTTGGTCATCGTCCGCCTTGGTCATATTCGATTCATTCATCGTCCTCGCGAATCGGCGACGGCCCGGGCCAAGACCAAGATCGGCGTCGACACGATCCCGCGACATCCCTCAACTAGAGCGACCGAAACCTTCGGACAATCACAACCGTTTCATGCTGGCCGAGTTCAGGCCGATATTGGACTTGAACGTCGACGTTGGCGTCGCCGTCGCCTCCGCTTTAACGCGCGGTGAGCCTGATGCTTGAGACAACATCGTCGCTTCTGGGCATCGAATGACCTTTAGGGCACGAGGTCGTGATAAGCCTGTGTGGGGCCCCCTTAGTGCAGGCAGATCTCGCATGTCAGATGCATTCTGAGGAGGAGGAAGGAGGAGGAGGAGGAGGAGGAGGAGGAGCAGGGAGGAAGAGGATCAGGGGGAGGTGAACGATCAGGAGGAGGAGGAGGAGGAGGAGGAGGAGGAGGAGCAGGAGGAGGAGGAGGAGGAAGGACGGAGGAGGAGGAGGAGGAGGACGGGGAGGACGAGGAGGAGGAGAAGGAGGAGGAAGAGAAGGAGAAGGAGAAAAGGTTCAGCCGTACCTTTTGCGGCCAACTCTTCCCGTTCCTGCTCCCTGGAGGTCTCCGACTGGCCCCTGGAGGCATTCCGCGGAAAACATCCCTGAGGTCCCCAGAAAGCCCCACGGGCCAATGCGGCATCCGCGCGATCTCGGAGGCCCGAACACGTGCTTAGCACAACGACGAAGACACATAGAGTGGATCATCCCCCATCCGAGCAGGATGATCGGATAGGAATGGCTGGCTGGGGATCCCCATCGCTGTCTGGGGACCACCACAAGGTCTACAAGGTGGAGATGGCCACCAAAAGGGTAGCACCTCGAGGCTGCTATGCCCACCGTCCAAAGCCAAAGTACCGCCATATCTTAAACCATCCACCCTTGCGGGGTGCCCATATTTCAACCGACCCCCCTGACACAAAAACAGACTGGCGATGGGAAGAGTAACTGGAGGAGGAGCGCCGGACTCCCCACAGCCGGCTTTTCCATACAAGATGTGACCCGCAGAGGTCTCGACCCCTCCTGGGTACCAGCGCGTCATGCCGTGGTAACTGGTCAAGACCCCCAAACAAAGACCGAAAACCGCTTTAAGTCCTCCCGTTATGCTTCTTCCCGGCGCGAGGAGGTCTGGTCTCAGGGTTGCGTTATGGCTAGAATCTCGAAGGAAACCGAATCGCGGGGACGAAGAGCAACCCGAAGACCCACTAACGAGAATCATCCAAGAGCATAAGTTCGACTCTCGAAGATGAATCCAGGTGTTTGGAGGAGGAGAAGAAGAAGGGCACAGAACCGCCAGTTGCGGTTCGGAAGGGGGGAAGTGGAGGAGGAGCAGGAGGAGGAGGAGAAGGAGAAGGAGGAGGATAATTGAGGAGGAGGAGGAGGAGGAGGAGGGGGAGGAGGGTCGATGAGGAGAGTAGACGGAGGAAGAGGGGGGGGAAGGATCTGGGAGAAGAGGGAGGGAGGAGGAGGGAGGGAGGGAGGAGGGATTGAGGAGGAAGGAGGACGAGGAGGAGCGCAGACCGCTGTGCCCCCTGCAAGGCACGAGTGCCGAGCAGGGGGTCCGATGTCCAAGAGAGGTCCCACCCTACCCTCGCGGCGGCGCGCGCGCCCGCCTCGCTGAGCACTGTCGTGTTGAAAAAGAAGACGAAGTGCAGCGATGGCGGCGGCGGCGGCGGCGGGGGGGGAGGGCCCAAAAAACTAAACGAGATTAGTCAGAGCCCGAGCTGGATCCGTCTCCAGTCTCGGGCAGAGGGACACGGGCCACATCGATTGGCCGATGGGCGGTCCGATCATGGGACAGCCTCTGGACCTCGTCCAAGGTCACAACACGAGTACCTTCGCCTCTCGCGCCCTCGGCCCCAGGACCACAGGACAAGCGAGAGGAGGAAGGGCCCTCGACGGGGCAGGAGGCGGCAGGGGAGGGAGCACGATTATCGTCGCGTCCTTCCTGCACACAAGAGGCGGGCCTGCCCGCATCCGTGGGGCCAGCGTGGCTATCTCCACGCCTGCACGGCCGACTAGCCGAGGGGGCGGAGAGCTTCGCGCCAGTCTTCGGATGCAGGCCTGCCTCGATCCTCCGAATGGCCATTCGCTGGTTCGCCTTCGTTGAGGCCACGGCCGAGAAACCAACACATCTGGCGGCTAACTTCACAAAATTGCCAAGAGTGCCGTTTCCACCGCATTTGCGGCAGCAAAAATAATCACTATTTTTAAACACGTCGTGACCGAGGGCCGAAAATTGAGGGTACCTGTCGGGCCCACTGGGCCCCGAGGGGAGCACAGGAGTCGGCGGGCCCTTCACCCCCATGTCGTCGGGCCCCTCGGTCTGGCTACACAGCTCAGCCTCTCTCTGGGAGGCGTCCATTGCCAGCTGCACGGCCTCGGAACGCATCAGGGCAAACCCCTGGTCGGTCGCATGAGCATTCCACCATTCAGACGCAGCCAGGAGCTGCACGGGGCTAGGGAGGGAAGCTCGGGCCGCCAGTCTGCACCCACTCTCCCCCCCTGTGAGGCGCGCTCGGGGCGCCTGGGCCTCCGCGCCCGCGGCCCGCTGCTGAAGGTAGGTCTGCCACTGCATCACGGACACCTGCATCGGCGGCGGCGCCGAGGAGGGCAAGCCTTCTGAGAAGGCTGCGGGGATTCTGGGGAACCCTCTGGCCGTCTGAGGGCCTCCCTGTGCCTTCGGAAACGGCTCAACGTGAATGGGAGAAGGCAGCGATCCGTTGTCGTCGTCGTCGACGTCGTCGTCGTGGTCGTTAGCGTCGTCTTCTTCGTCGTCGCCTTGGCCTGAGTCTTGGTCTTGGTCTTGGTCTTGGTCTTGTTCGTTGCCATCGTCTTGGCCCGTGTGGTCTTCGTTGTCGGCGTGGCCGCGGACGCGGCCGTGGCCGTGGAGGTGGCCGTGGTCGTCATCGCCACCGCCGTCGTCGTGGCAGTGGCCGTCGTCGCTGTCGTGACCGTGGCCTTCTTCGTCGCCAACGCCGCCGATGGCCGAAGGTACTCTGGTGTGTATACATCACCTTGTATACATATATGTATACACGCATATACATATATACATATAGATACATCGCCCACACTTCGTTGTCAGTATTGTGATTACTGTGGGTAGTCTTACTAGTACCATTCATAAGTATTAGCATTGCTATCGTGATGACTATTCTGATTTATAGGGTCTCCGACTCCCCCAGGGAAGCTTCGAGGGATCTCCGCGGAGGTCTGCATATGGCCCCTTTTCCGTGGGAGCGGTGATCTCTGCGCTACCCTGCTGGGTACTCAGTGGACGGTGACTTTTGATTGACGCAAGGACGTGAGGCATTCCTGTCACGGTCATGCACCACCTCATGAGAAAGGGGCACTTTCCTGGACCTGCCTGCGCACTGTCAGCTTACACGTTACCCACGACAGCGAACATACCGGTATCCGCGCCCTCGTGATTTGAATTCCAGGGCGCGATTCCGCGCCCTCGTGTTTGCAAGGCTACGTTCCGCGCGGGGCACCCGCGGAAAAAAACGCCCCGTATCCGGCGATTGCAACCCAAGGGCTCGGTCTGCGAGGCCGCGGCTATGGATAGATGTTTCGCCCACAAGGTACTAGCTATTTGCTAGTCTCAGTGGCGCTGGCGATCACACTGGACCCAGGCGTTGAAGCCCAGAGGCCACGAACCCGACTCCTCAAGCCTCGTCGCCGTCGTCGTGGTCGTGGTCGTGGTCGTCGTCACCGCCGTCAAACCTCCTCTTACAAGGCTCTGGACTGCCAAGAGCCGGCTACACGTAAGAGTGACTTTTGTTGCGCGGCTTGAAGAGGAGGGCGCTGGAGGGCAAAACCCAAGCCCGCAAGCCGCTGCTTCCGTGTCGCATTCAGCGATCCGAGGGGCCCTCTGGGCCCACACTGACTGTCACTCCGGCAAAGGGTCACCCCAGGTTTCCTTCCCGTCTAGCCTTCGGGTCATAACTGGGGTCTCTGGCTGCTGATCGAGAAGATTCGGGCACTCCTGGAAGGCCCTCGGGGAGGCGCAGCTGCTGCAACGCACCCAAAGCCAGAAATAACTCCAGGAACTTTTGAAAATATCAAAAAAACATGAAAGAGCGCAGGACCACCTCTTACGCGACGTGAGATCTGCACAGGCAGCAGCTCCGGGTGGCAGTCCCGGGACGACCTCAGCAGGCCCCCGTCGAGTGTTGCCAGACATGTCCCTGGCTCAAATCTCCCAAGAAAAACGCGCGCTCGCCTGGAATCTCCACCGACTCACCCGACGGCGTGGTCACAGCACCGTTCTTGGACGCCTTCCAAGTGGGGTCCGTGTAGATGGGGCCAGAAGATTGTGCCGCATCTCCGATACGTCTGCGATGCATCGATGACGTCGGCGTGGAGAAGATCGGGCATCACATCGAGCCGCCTCGGCGAGGCGGCGCGATCATCCGACCCCACCTGCTCGGACCCCATCTGGGAAGCTTGGATAAACCCCACGGCATCGTCACCGCGACATTCTGGGGCCTCCGATACCCCCTCTTTGGACGCCCGCAATGGGTGCGGAAAGGATTGGCACGGTGCCCAACAACATGTGTTGTCCAAAACCAAGAGCGGCCGCTGTTGGGCAGGCGCCCCCCTGACTCAGACGGACAACCTCTGATGGGACGTCGGCAGCGAACTTTGTTCAAGATGGACAGCAACTGCTGACGGTCCCCGTACTGATTCTTTCCATACCCATGTCGATCGTTTCAGCAGAAACCGACCGTCTCGGCATTCCCATAAGCCTACCCCGAAGTTCCTAGAGCATAAAGCAGATGTTGTCAAACAAGACGTCTCAGCCAGGAATGTTCTAAAAACATTTCGCGAAAACCACCAGCGGCTCTGAGAACATTCTTTGGTGGGCCCTTAGACAAGCCAGGACGCCTCACCACCGCTCGAAGTTTGCCGAGTTCTGGGGCTTCCGCCCCCCGCCCCCGAGGGCCTGCAGCTCCTCCGGCAGCTGCATGGGCTGCTGGTGCCCGCGCCCGCGCCCCTCCCTGGCCTCCTGCTCGCTCTTCTTCTTCTGGTACTGGTCGCTGAGCCACGTCCCCACGCCGTAGCCCACTCCGGCCCCTGTGCCGCGAGTGAGGGGGTCGCCGGGGGGGCACTAGATCCCCCTCCTCTCCCTGAACTTCCTCCTTCTCCTGCTCCTGCTCCTCATCCCCCTCCTCCTCCTGATTCTTCTCGATCCTCGTCCTCTCCTCCTCATCCCCCTGCTCCACCTCGTCTTCCTGCTCCTCATTCTCCTCCCCCGCGTCCTCCTCCTGCTCCTGCTCCTGCCCCTCCTCCTCCTCCTCCTCCTCCTCCTCCTCCTCCTCCTCCTCCTCCTCGTTTTCTCCTTCTCAATCCTGCTGCGTGGCCGAGACCTGATCTTCCTCGTCCTCGTCTTCTTCTTCTTCTTCTTCTTCCTCCTCCTCCTCCTCCTCCTCCTCCTCCTCCTCCCAAGAGGCCCCCAGAGATTCTCCTCGCCGCCGACGCCGCCGCCTCCCCCCGACCCGCCACAACAAATAGAGTTGTGGCAATGGGTGTACCCTGCCCGTTGACGACCTCTCGAGGGAGGGGGCGTCTAAGCCGACGGGCCCCTCGAGGGCGTGAAAACCGCAGGCCCCCGACGCTGTTTTCCCTAACTGTCTCACGGTTTGGAGTCCTTGCTTACCTCCTCCTCCTCCTCCTCCTCCTCCTCCTCCTCCCTCCGCCTCCTCCTCCTCCCTCCTCCTCCTCCTCCTCCTCCTCCTCCTCCTCCTCCTCCTCCTCCTCCTCCTCCTCCCTTCCTCTCTCCTCGCTCCTCCTTCTCCTCCATCCTCCTCCTCCTCCTCCTCCTCCTCCTCCTCCTCCTCCTCCTCGCCTGCTCTCCCCCTCTTACCCTCCCAGCCCACTTTCCTATGGTTTTGGGTCCTCGCGTACCTCCTCGCGCCTACCTCCTCGCGCCGGCTCTCCTTTTCGGCACGCTCGTCACACGTTTCGCAGCCTCACAGGAAGCTCCACCTAAGACCCCAGTGGCTGCCCCCGCATGCCTTTTCCAGATTAGTTCGGAACGCCCTTCACACGTTTCGTGGCCCCGTAGGGAGCTCCACGGAAGGCCCCAATGGCTGTGGCGGCATGCCTTCTCCAGACCATGTCAGTACACCCCTCACACGTTTCGTGGCCCCATATGGAGCCTCACCTAAAGCCGCAGTTGGCACGCCGCTCGCACGTCTCGTGGCCCCCGCATGCCTTCTCCAGACGATGTCGGCGCACCCCTCAGACGTTCGTGGCACCATAGGGAGCTCCACCGAGTGCCACAGTTGCAGCAATCGCACGCGTAACCGCGTAGATGTCTGCACACCACTCACACATTTCGTGGCCCCACAGGGAGCTCCACCGAATACCCCAGTTGCAGCAATCGCATGCACGACCGCGCCAATTTTTGTACACCCCTCCCACGCTTCGTGGCCCCAAAGGGAGCTCCACCGAAGGCCCCAGAGGCAGGAACTTCGGGATGGAGTATCTGTCGACTTGAAGCCGTTTTTTTCCCCCGCGACGCAACGCAGCCGCGGCAGCAGAAGACCCGTAAACGCGACCCTGGGGCGTAAAACGCCCCCAAACCCTCGGCAACAGCCGAGCGTTTCATGTCAGTACGGTTCCAGTCGTCAAGACAAAAGCTCTGCTCAAATGCGCTGCCGGCAGCAGTGTTCGACGCTACATTTCGGAGAAGCCGAAGGGAATGGAAGAAAAGGAGACAAGCAATAGACTCCCAGAGGGAAAATCTCCAGATTCTACCTCCCGCGCGCGTCCTCAAGGGCTCGACCGCGGCATGCGGGACACCCCTCGGAACCACTCCGAGGCCCTGGCCAAAATGGCACGGGAAATCTGCGCAAACGGGAAACCTTCACGAAGAAGCAAAGCCCAGACTGGGGCGAGAAGGAAGGGGAGGGGGAGAGCCGGGCGAGCAGGGAACCGAAACACGGACTGGATTTCCAAGCGGTGGTATACGTGCAAAGCCTACGGCCCTGAGTGGGCCGTGAATGACCACGAAACCTGCAAAGGCAGGGTGCTGATCCAAGTGAGCACGAAGCCCATCGAACCGCATGAGAAGCAAGGCTGGGAGAGCATGTCCGGCCGCCCTGAATATGGCGCGACCCGCGGGCTTAAATGCACGACCAGCGCCAGCCGGAACGACGCCAGTGCTCTGGAGCGGTAGCCGCTGTCGGTGGCCGAACGCCTCGACCCGCCACCACGAGGAGAGGGGTGAAGGAGAAGGAGGAGAGGGGGAGGAAAGAGAGAGAGAGAGAGAGAGAAAGAGAAACAACAAAAACAAAAAGAAGGGGGAGCCTGTCCCGACCCCGCTAAGGAACAAAGGATCCTAAGCAAAGCCTCGGACCCACCGGCGAAAAAAAAGTAGGGGGAGGAGGGGGAGGGGGGAGGGCGGAAAGGGAGGAAGGAGGAACGGCTGCGACGAACGTCGCACGAAGCCGCTCGCCCTCCAGGCGGCTCGGAAAATTCACCTCTTGCGCCCGTCAGCGCCACCTCAAGCGCCTCCCCAGGCGAAGCCTGGGCGTGCGCCACCCCTTGGCGAAGGGTGGCGCGGCACCCCTGCGCCACTCCCTCGCGCTGCATTCGGCTAGCCGCCGTCCCGAGCTCACCGATGATGGCCAAAATCGTCACATGCCCTTCAGCTGCCAGCCGCGGATCTTCATCAAGACAGCTATGTACTCCCGGCTTCGCTCCGCATGCCCTGGATCCTTACCCGGAGGCGCTGGCAGGCCCTCGAACGCGATGAAGCCCTCATCCTGCTGCAGGCCACCACGAGACAAACCGACCTCCTTGGGGGCCTCGCCCTGCTCGGCGCTGCCTGCTTCCGCCGAGCCGCCGACTCGCTCGGTGTCGGTGTCGCCATCCTGGAAGGGGAGGTCCGAGGGGAGAAAACTCATGGTGCCGACCACACACTCCGTGCCGGGGTTGACGACGCCCTCGCCCTCCTTCTGGTTGCTCTGGATGCCGTGGCCTGCGATGTTCGCCTGCACCACGTGTCCGTCGATGGTTCTGTGCATCTTTGCGTCGAACTCTTGCTTCGCGTCGAAGTCCTGCGGCACGACACTTGCCTCGGAGCAGGGATCCGAGCCAGCCAACACCTCAATCTCCGACCAGGAGGGCGAGCGCATCCCGATCGCCGCGGGGCTCCTCCAGAAGGACGAGCTGGTCTCTCATGTGGCCTCTGGGGGGGCATCTTAGGGGCCTTTGGTGGGGCTTCTCGAAGGTCCTTTGGTGGCTGCTTGGGTTTTTTTTGCAGGCATCGCGGCAGCCGTCTTGGGAGCTGTTGGGGGGCTCTCGGGCAGCCTCGGGCGCGTGGATCCCCAACCATGAACAGAATGTGAATGTCTGGTTTGCGCCGCAATACGAGACCTATGTTGCAACACAGCAACAATTCGGCCCCTGACTTTCATCCTGGGTTCGGTTTAGTGAAGTTATGAATTGTTGGGTCCTTACGTAGGAAAAGCATCACTTCACTTATCTGGGGCCCCTGGGGCCTCAGTGGGCCCTGGGCCTCAACATTAGTGACGTGAGGTTTTTCGGGCCTCGGACTCAAGGCTTTTACTGAACGAAGCGCGCCTCTCTGGGGCATCGTGGGCGTCGTCTCGAGGCTATCGCGGGAATCTCCTTGGCCCTGCCAAGGCCACCTTGGCCGTCTTTTGCGGGCTGCCTTGGACCGCCTGGGAGACCTGCCGAGGCCAGGGTGGGCCGCCCACGCTCCGGCACCCGGGGCAAGAGGCTCCCAGAGGGGCCGGGGGGGGGGGGGACCAAGGGGGGGCAGGCGGGCCCAGGGTCGACTCGAGAAGTCGGATCGGCAATCGAAACGAATCGGATCGGCGGAAGTCGGCAGCCAAGTCGGGAAAAGTCGAATTGGCGGAGATCGGCAGGTTGGTCGGCATTCGTGAGAGATCGGATGGTGCATCCGAATCCGAAGTCGAATCGAATAGCTATCGGAAGCCATCGACATCGAATCTAATCGAATCTGAAGGGTCGAAACGAGCCCTGAGTATCCGTTGTAGGGTCGCAAGGCGTGGCGGGCGTGGCACTGTGCCGACACCACAGAGTGCACTTATGGTGCGGACGCCATCGGCGGTAGGGACAAACAGCGTGGCGGGCGTGGCACTTCCTCGACACCACAGGAGGTGCGCTGACGGTGGAGACGTCACTCGCTGTAGGGCCGCAAGGCGTGACCTGCGTGGCACCGCCTGGACATCGCAGAGGGTGCGGCGAGGGTGGGGGGCCCTGCCCTCTGCGGGGTCGCAGCGCGTGGCAAGCGTGACCTTTCTCGGCACCACACGGGGGTGCGCTGGAGGGCTGCAAGGTGTGGCACGCGTGGCACTTCATCGACCCACAAGGGGTGCGCTGAGGTCGGGGGCAATATCCGCCGTAGGGTCGCAAAATGTGGCAAGCATGGCAATTTCTCTGCACCGCAATGGGTGCACTGAGGTTTGGGGGGGCGCTATCCGTGTTAAGGTCGCAACGCGTGGCAGGCGTGGCAATTTCTCTGAACCACAATGGGGAGCCTTGAGGGTGAGGTCGCTACACGCTGTAGGGTCGCAACGCGTGGCAAGCGTGGCACGCTCTCGGCATCACATGGGGCTGCTCTGAGGGTGGGGGTAATATCAGTTGTAGGGCCGCAAAGCGTTTCAAGCGTGACACTGTCTCGACACCGCTAGTGGGTGCGCAGGTGGTCATTGGATATGAACACACATGGCATGAACAAGGTGTATGGAGTTTTTCGGTAGTGCAACTCGTGTAGGGCATTATTGCTTCCACCTTGTCACCACCTGCGCAACCCATGCGTCGTCGAAGAACTGCTGCGCCTGCAACACTTTGCGACCCTACAGCCAATAGCGCACACACACCCTCAATGAACCCTCTGGTGCGCCGAGGAACTGCAACGCCCGCCACGCTTTGCGACCCTACAACGGACAGCGCCGATGACCTCAGCGCACTCCCTGTTGTGCCAAAGACGTGCCACGCCCGCCATGATTGCGGCCTGCAATGGACATCGCCCCCACTGGCAAAGCATCCTCTGCAATGCCTACGAAATGCCACGACCGCCACCCCATGCGACCCTGCAGCGGATAGCGCCCCCACCCTCAGCGCACCCCCATGTGGTGTCGAGACAGTGCCACGTCTGCCGCTCCGTGCGGCCCCACACCGGATAGCGGCCAAACCCCCAGCGCGCTCCCTGTGATGTCGTGTCACGCTTACCACGCGCTGCGACCGTGGCGCGGATATCGCCCCCAACCCCAGCGCACCCCCTGTGGTGCCGAGAACATGTCACGCCTGCCACGCTTTGCGACCACACAGCGCACCGTTGTAGTCCTGCGGCGCCCCCTGCAATGTAGAGAAAATCCAACGCCTGTCACGCTTTGCGACCCTACAACCTATAGCGCCCCCACCTTGAGTGCACCACATGCTGTGTCGAGAAGGTTGCACGCCTGCCATACGGCGCGACCCTAGAGCGAATACCACCTACACCCTGAGCGCATCCCCTGCGGTGTCGAGAATGGCGCCACGCATGCACTGCCTTGCAGCCCTACAACCGGTAGCGCCCCCACATTCAGCGCACTCCCTTAGGGTGTACACGAGTTGTCTGGGCGCCACTGGTGAGTATACGCCTGCGCGAACGACAGCCCGGTGTGTCAGGGCAGCCAGCAGGGAGGCGGCGTGCCCACATCCTGCCATAATGACTTGCGTGGTTCAGATCATGTGCGATGCTGGCCCGTCTGTCTGGACAAGACGCGGCTGGGCGCACAGGTCGACGAGGAGCCAGACCAGCCGAGCGCCGCAGCGCTTCAGCTTCGCGTAAGAGCAGGCTGGGGGCTACCATGTCGAACGCCTTCCATCACGTCGAGCAGCACCGTTGCCGACGGGCGAGGTGGCGATTCCGATGTCCAGTTTCAAACTGAAGGCGGAGTCGGATGAGGACCCTCCTAACACCGTGCCCCAAACATGCTCGCCGAGGTGATCCTTGTCCCACTTTGCCGACCGCGCGCGCCCGTCACGCGACCACCATCGAACCGTGCTGTGGAGAAGTAGATCAGCCCGATCAACCACGATCCCTCGTCTGTCTTAGGCAGGCGGCCCAGGGCCGTAGCGATTCTGCCAGAGGGCCACCGTGCCAAGCGCTCGCAAACATCGAAAAGGGCACAAACGACGTCCGTGCCCTCGTCGGACAGCTGGCTGAAAAGTCTGTGTGGTAGAACCGTCGGTCCTGCTGTTGTGCGAGCGGTGAACGACAGGACGGCCTTCGGTCTGCGGTCCACCGCGAGGTTCGGAAGGACGCTCCATGCCTTGGAATGTGCAGGCCTTCGCAGGGTGCAAACCTATGATGTCGCCAAATGTGCGCACACTTGTCGAGCTCAGCGTCAGCCAGCTGGTGCGGTTGGGTGCCAGCGTCGGTCCGCTCAGGCAGCTCGAGTCGCTCCCTTGGCTTGCTGAACCTGTCTGTCGCCCCTGCACCTGGACGCAATGAGGAGGAGGAGGAGGAGGAGGAGGAGGAGGAGGAGGAGGAGGAGGAGGCGGCGAAGGATGAGAAGCCTGTGTCGACTGCGGCAAAGAGCCTGGGGAGGAGGGGGAGGGCAAGGATGACGAGGGAGACGAGGAGGACGGTAGGGAGGACCTGGCGAGGAGAGGAGGAGAAACCTGTACCGACCGCGACAAGAAGAAGGGGGCTCTTCGTCACGAGCCCTATCTTGACTGCCTGGGGTGCCTGGCAGTGGCCCCTGGCGCGACGCGGAGGATCTGGTGAGGAAGAGGAAAAGGAGGATCAGGAGGAGGAGGAGGATGAAAAAGAGGAGGAGGAGGAGGAGGGCGAGGAGGGCGAGGAGGAAGAAGGAGGGGGAGGAGAGGAAGGCGGGCGTCGAGGACGAGAGGAATACCTCCTTCTTCTCCTCCTTCTCCTCCTCCTCATACTCCTGCTGCTCGTCCTTCTTGTCCTCCTTCTTATCCTCCTCCCCCTCCTCCTCAATACCCATGTTCTCCTCGCCCCCGTCGACCTCAGGCCGACCCCAGAATCGTGATTGTTTCACGGCGTGGCCCCAGAGAGGTCGTGGAGCTCTTCCGCAAGACAGATGTGTCGTCCTGGGTCGTTTCCTGAGGACCCAAGGGCTCAGCGATGGCCCGCAACGGTACAAAAATATACAACATCCTTCCGCCGTGATTTGTTTCACGAGACGAGGGGCCGGCTTCTTAACCATAATGAACTCTGGCCTCTGGCGGTCGCTCGGGACGATTGGGGCACCCCTGGACAGCAGTTGATGGTGAGCAGCTGGCAAGGCGAGAAAACATCCAAGAACCATCAGGGACGAGGGATAACGCTTAGAAAGAAAACAACGTAAGCATACACTTTCAGAGGTCCACACAGATTTCTTGGATCTGCGCACCCCCCCCCCTCCTTGGCGCTTTGACCGCGCAACCAGGCCAATCGCAGATCCAAGCAATCCGCGAGGAGCTCCGAAAGCTATTGTCGATGAAGTGTTTCTTCTGTGAAGGCGAGGCGTAATTGCTGGCAGGCACTCCGAGGAGAGAAACAATCCAAGAACCGCCGAGGACGAGGAAGGAGGCTGGACCAGGAGATCCGACGATACAAGAAAATGCAACATCGCAAAGTAAAAACACGACCCGAGCCCTAGACCCCATCTTCCTGCTGGATTTTTCTTGTCCGATCGATCTGTTGTGCCCTGGGGCCCCAGGCCCGGCGAAAACGCCCGGTGTGAAGAAATTGCAACGCTCGGGTCACAGGGGAATCTGGAGGAGGCGCATCTGCCGACCATGGCGTTCGTGACCATCCTCTTCCTCCTCTTCGTCCTCCTCCTCCTCCTCCTGATCCTCCTCCTCCTTCCTCCTCCTTCCTCCTCCTTCCTGATCATCCTCCTCCTTCCTGACCCCCTCCCGCTCCTCCACCGACATCCTCCTCCATCTCCTCCCTCCTTCCCCCTTTTCTTCCTCCCCCTCCTCCTCCCTCCTCCAATTACTCCTCGATCCCTCTCCTCGTTCTCGAGAGGGCACGCCTATGCCCACCATGGCGAGCGTGCCCATCGACACGACCCCCGTGATCAGGTACACGGCACCGCCGACGCCAAGCGCGGGCAGCAGGCCCTTCGACCGCATCTGCAACCCGTCGCCGTTTTCTCCTGAAGAGAACGAGGTGGACCGAGGAGGAGGAGGAGGAGGATCAAGGAGGAGGAGAAGGACAGAGGAGGATAGTTAAATAGAGCGAGGAGGAGAAGCTGGAGAAAAACAAGAGGTGTGCGCTCGCGCCATATCCGACATCATATCCATCCCGTCCATTCCTTCCCATCGCACTGATGTTTCGCTACCCGCGGGCGCGTGTCATAGCCGATCTGGAAACATGACAGAAAGGCCCCATCGTGTCATGCGAAATCGGAACAGGGTAACTGCGTAGATATGAGGAGAAGGAGAAAGAGGAGGAGGAGAAGGAGGAGGATGAGGAGGACAGGTAGAGGAGGTGGCGGGTGAGCAGGAAGATGTGCAGCAGAAGAGGGAGGAGGACGAGGAGGACGAGGACGAACAGCAGCAGCAGCATGAATGAGCGGGAAAGGAAAAGGAGGAGCAGAAGGACCAGATGAAGGCGGAGGAGGGGGCATGATGGGGGCACCAGCGATGTGAATGGAGTCGGATCCGAACAAGTTGCCCCCGCTGGGGCAATAGCGCCACTCTGAACGTCAGGGGCAAAGCGCCGATCCCCCAATGAGGCCAACGCTGCAGCGGGAACACCTTCTGAAACACCGACAACCATGGGCTGGTAAACAAGACAAGCAATAACCACACCAACTTTGAAATCTTGTGCTAGAAACAGTACGGGGAGAGAGCCGAGAATCTGCAAGACAGAACCAGAGGTGAGAGGAGTAGTACTCATGGTGTGCCAATGTAGAGAGGAGGAGGGAGGAGGAGGAAGAAGAGGAGGAAGAGGAGGAGGAGGACGAGAGAAGGAGGAGGAGGACGACGAGGAGGAGGAGGAGGAAGAAAAGGCGGAGAAGGAGATAGCAGAGAGAAGAGAGGAGGAGGAGGACGAGGAGGAGGAGGAGGAGGAGGAGGAGGAGTAAGAACAGGCGGAAGAGGAGCTAGCAGAGAGAAGGAGAGAGGAGGAGGAGGAGGAGGAGGAGGAGGAGGAGGAGGAGGAGGACCAACACGCATCCTGAAAGGGGGTTCTGCCGTCTTGGCTACAATCGCGCGGCGGCGCGGAGGCGCGGGGCGCGCCTGGAAGATCTGGTTGGCGAGATCGGGCCGCGCGCAGGGGGGTCACTCTCCCTTCTGCGCACGCTCCCCGCTCCAGCCCCACCTACCCTCCTCCCTCGCCTGCTCCTGCTGCTCCTGGGGTAAATCTGCCAGGAGCTGGGCCAAGGGGATGCAGGGGCGAAGCTGCACCCTGGGCTTCTTGGGATGCCGTCCGTGACACATCTAATTCAATGCATACTCGAATCCACGCTTCTGGGCGTCCGAAAAACGCTTGGGACAAAAGCTGCACAAACTACATGGGTTCGGGACCGCATAAGCTCCACAAATCTGACAAGCAATGATGAAACTCTCGCCTGTCTCAAAATCTGCCACCACCAGCGTGTGGCCGTGACTGTCAGCAGCGAGGGTTTTAAGAGGGGAATTGCCAGTGCACTTCTCGTTGAGCCTGGCTTTTTCCTTGCCTCAGAAAGCGCCCTCGTCTTGCACAGCTTGCAAACCCAACCCCCCAGGCTCCAAGTCCAATCGTGCACCAAACGACCCCCTGACACCACAGGGGGGCGGGGAGGAGGGGGCACAAGATTGGAGCCAGGGGCGGACGCAGCCCCAACAGGGTGATTATTCGACTTGTTAGGTTTGGCCAATGCTTTGCCCCCAGGCTTGGAAGCAACACCTTACAAGCATAGTGTAGAAATCGCTGCAACAACTTGACTGTCGGCAAGGGCGGGTTGCACCATCTCGTTGGCGACCCACTTCGCCTACCGATCGGCCTCGGCGTTTCCCGAAGCATGCCGCCATTCTTCTGTGTGGGACTCTAACTCATGGAGCTTCTGATGCGACTTGACTTGAATCAGGTCGATGTCCCGACTCCAGCCCGCACAACCTTTAATGAAAAACTTGAGACCATAATAAAAACCTTTAGGGGACAGACCTGGGGCGTGCAGCCTGCATGTGCCAGTGCAGTCGGCAATCAAGGCCGAGATATTACTTCCGAATTTGACCGCGACGTATGCACCTAAGAATTCTGCCGCCGGCGAGATCTGAGGCAAAGACCTACCAACAGGGCCCGCTAACGCAGCTATGGCTTCACCCGTGGCAGGGTCAATGACTACAACAGCCCATCCCGCTCGGTGATAACACTTAGGACCTACTTCAAGCACGATCCGTGTAGGTACAAGTTGCCCTGCAGGGCTTGGGCTAGAGTGGTGTTCGGGCCCAACGCCCACAAGGTCGCACTCTCGAGACCAAGCCCTGCTGGGGCACCGACGTCAAACTCAACCTTGACGTCCAGACCCGCCTGAAGATGAGTCCACTCCGCATTTTTGAGAGCATCGATATCTTCAAAGCTGTAATTCACAGCTCGCTCGGCCGCCGAAAGGACGTATCCGAGAATTATGTGATACATGCTGCCATGCTCGTGCCAGCACGGGCATTTGCAATCCACCTCATAACCCGCCTCTCGAAGACCAAGCTTGGTCCATGTACTCTGGGAGAGGAAGGCGAGGATGATGGAACGCTCCCGGGGGCACGAGAAGGGGAGTTGAGGACGCTGAGTGCAGCAGAAACGCAGACCTGATCCCCCACCCGCCCCAGTCGCTCGTTCGCTTGCTCCACCAGCCTGTCCCGCCATGACTTTTGCAGCGCGGCGGAGAGGAAGGCGGGCGAGACCGAGGAAGATGGAGCCATCCCTGTCCGAAAACTCGAACGCACTGACGGCCTTCCATCAAAGTCTGCTGAACGAGAGAAGCCACGCTCCGAAGGGGCCCCTGGAGTGCAACCACCACTTGGGGGGAGCAGCCAAAATGGGGGCAGCTAAATCCCTAAGTTCTGGCAGGGTGATTCCTCCGTCTCGCGGAGTGGCAGCTCTCCACACGATCTTGGCCCAGGTTAAACACGGCCGAACTCCCACCCTCCAAGTGGGATCGTTGAGGAGGAGGAGGCTGAGGGAGCAAGATCTAGTGGAGCATCGCGGGCCCACGGCCTTCAGAAACGTGGACTGGATGTCCCTCACTTCATTGTCATTAGCTCATAAAACCTCAGTGCCGTAGTGCCCTGCCTGCTGGAGTCCTCCTGCATACAGCTTGCTGATGTTGGCTCCCCCTGCTCTGAGCGACGCGAATCTACCTAATCTCTTGCGAAGGTTTCTTGTGCCGTTTCATTGGCCTTGGGCCGTTGCTTTTTCATATTGCGCTTCCGGCCAATGAAATAATCGATGCCAAGATTTGGGGCTGAAGCTCCCGGCTGGCCTCCTTGGGGCCCCGAGGCTTTAGCTAACTTCTGCTTCAGCGTGTCCGACGACGCAAGGACGACAGGCTTGTGGTCGGCGATGCTGCTTTGCAACTTGTCGATTATCAGATCCCCTAAATGTTGGGCGGCGTCCGTCAAAGCATGCAGGACCGTGAAAATAGACTGGCTCTGGCACTGCTGAAGGAAATCGTGGATGAAGACGCTTAGCTGGACGTCTCTATGCCTGGACTGTCAAGCCGAAAGGTCGTCAAGACAATAAACTTGGATGAGAAACGTAGCAAAACTGTCCCCAGCACGCAGTCCCCTTGTGGCATACCCTGCGTGAGCGACAAGCGTAGCATACGAGACCAGGCGCTGGGAATTGTGCTGGTTGAGAATCACAGCCAAGATGTGCGTGTTGAAGCTGTGTTTCTTGGCATTGACAAAAAACATCTGGAGACACATGCTCGTAGTAGTTAGACAAGTCCTACATGACAGCGCACGTGTGAAGCACGGGCTTGACGTACTGTCCTCGCTCTGCCTGCAGTGCCTGGAGATCAACTAACTCACAGATTGATCGACCTGATTGGTGACACAACAAGGGCTGGCGATGGCCCGTTTCCCATTCTTTGGCCACGTGCTCTCTGGCGCGGGCCCACAGTCTATACAGGCTGGGGAACATGCCGATTCCTCGGTACTGCGGCGTGTCCCCAACACTCTTGTGTTTGGGGATGAGGACAGTCAGGACAGCTGTGAGAACCGAAGGACATGTACCCAGCGATTCGACCAGGGCGAAAAGAGAGGCCACAATCTGCAGGCCTTCGTCAATGAAAGTGCGGGCTGCGGTTTTGATCTGCTGGGGCGTTAGACGATCGAGGACTTGATCTTTCGACTCCCCCTCGAATATCGGGCCCTCGTGCGAATGGGACCGCCAGAGCTCCTGCAGCCGACCCGCTTCGGCCTGCAACATGTGACGGGGCCTCCCCGAACACCTCCCTCCGTGTTTGGCAGCCTGCGGCCGCCATGGGGCGGGGGAGCGGGAGTAGGCGTATGCTTTACCTGCCCCTCCTTGCATCGCCGTGGCGACCCAGTCCCTCCACTGCTTGCTGCTGTCCACCATGCTCTGCCTCTCCTCCTTGCTGATACTGTCCTCCGGGTCCTCCAAGAAGTCTGAGAGCATACGATCAACTAGATCAGATGTCAGGTTGTCAGCCTGCGCATCGATGCCGACAGCCATGAGGACGTTGCGATACGAATCGAGAAACTGCTGAAGACTACCTGAGCTGCTGAACTGCTGGGCGGGTCTTGCACCTCCTCAAGGGCCCACTGGACCTCATTTTTGTGATCCCCCGGGCCAGTCCGGGATTGCTCCGAAAACTGTGCGCGAGTGTCTTGAACTTTGCCTCGAAGCCAGATCAACGACTTTGCCAGCGAACCCCGAACCCAGGATTTCTGGTGATGTTTCTGGACCGTGGTAGCTGGTAGCCATTTGATCCTGGGTGGGAGCCCTCGAAGCGACGGAAGCCTGAACTGCGTGTCTGTGTTCTTGGCCAGAGACCTCTCCATGTCCTGGACCATGGCCTCATAGGCTGCATCAAAGATTGCCTGCTTGACCGAAGGACTCTGCGCTGAAGGCGACCTGTCCTCCAAGAAAGAGATCACCTCCGCCTGCTTCATCGCTGCTGCTGCTTCTGTCCAGAGTAGCTCCGGAAGCCTGGGACCGTAGGGGAGTGACTTGGGGATCTGCTGAGGCTGCTGCAATACTGGAACGAAGTGCTGGCCGCGAGTCAACTCCAGCTGCACCACTCGGTGCGGGGTCATAGGGAAATCCAGTATTGCAATGCTCTGCACTCGCTCGTCCATCGACTCAGAGACGAGGAACTAATCTAAGACAGATCTACTCTTCTTAGCGATGTGAGTGGGCCTCCTAGTGCTATGGACTCTGACCGTGGCGCGGGTCGTGAAGTTGGACTGAAGCAACGTAGTGGGAGTGATATTGAGATCACCTCCAACTAGTAGCGGCATCTGGCATCGCTGCTGCAGCTCTCCCGCTGCTGCTAGCAACTGGGCGCTTCGCTGAGACATCCCCTCGGAGTCGTACAGGTAAACTGACACCACTGCAACCTGACCAAGCCCTGGTGCTTCCAAGGCGACTGCACTCAAACGATGAGGACTGTCAAGGTGAGGAACAATAATTGGCTGAACACCGTAATCGAAGCTGGCTCGAATCAAGATGGCCGTGCCCCCTGAAGGAGGAGGAGGAGGAGGACCAGGAGGAGGAGGAGGAGGAGTAGGAGGGCGATGGAGGAGCGGGAGGGGGAGAGACGGAGGAGGAGAGATGAGAGAGGAGAAAGAAGATAGGAGTAGGAGGTGGGAAAAATGGAACAGAGGAAGATAATCCAAACTAGAGGACAAGGCACACACATAATGAGTCTCGGGGATGCGAAGCAGCATGACAATTACCCGAGGAGTATCGAGGTCAACGGATCCGAAGGACGATGATCGAGGATGAGGAGAAGGATCTCGAGAGGCCTTCAGAGACCTCCAATGGCCTGCGAACTCGAAACACCGACGGCATCACAAACATCTCGACAGCACTTCATCTCACGTCTGATCCGGCCCCCGAGGCCCCAGGAGGCCCCGAGAGGCCCAGCACTGGCAACAAAGCAGAACAACAGAAAAATGATCCCCTTCGATCCCCCTCCTCCTCCTCCTCCTCCTCCTCCCCCCCCTCCTCCTCCTCCTCCTCCTCCTCCTCCTCCTCCTCCTCCTCCTCCTCCTCGTGCTCCTCCCCCCCTGTATCCTCCTCTTCGCTCCTCTTCGCTCCTCGACCTCGACCTACCTCCTCGACGCCCGCATCGATCCTCCTCCTCCTCCTCTTCCTCCTCCTCCTCCTTCTCTTTCTCTTCCCCCTCGACACCCCATCCTCGATCTTGGATCCTCCTCCTCCACGGCCCCTCTCCCCCATTCAGCAATCCCCATCCTCGAACCCCCCACCACCTCTCGCTCCTCTTCCCTCGGCACCGAATGTCCGCCGAAGCGTCCCGCCCGCTCCGCCCCCCCCTCCTTGGGGCCAGGCCACTCGGCTCTGAGGCCCTAGGCCCCGGAGTGCCAATTCCGCTCCAATCTCTGGCGGCCGTGCGGGACGACCCGGGCACCCTTGCAACGCCCTCGGCGAGGAAGACACCCGAGGACCCCGAGGCAGGAAGACGTCCGAGGACCTAGAACCCGAACCCTGGCCCGGCCCGCAACGCCCCCTGGGGCATCCAGAGGGGGCGGAGCAGACGGAGAAAGAAGATGAGAAGGAGAAGGAGGAGGAGGAGGAGGAGGAGGAGGAGGAGGAGGAGGCGAAGGAGGAGGGGGATGAGGAGGAGAGGGAGGAGGAGGAAGGGGAGGATCAAAGGGAGGAGGTGAAGGAGAGAGAAAGAGAAGGGGGATGAGCAAAAGGAGGAGGAGGATGAGGAGAAGCAGGAGGAGGAGGAGGAGGAGGATCAATGCAAACCCAAGACCCATCGACAGTGTTGGAATCAACCCTCCTAGGCCTCTACAAGGATTCATCTCCACTGAAGGAAGTGCCCCATTGGGAGACAGCCGTTCGGACATCCCGGAGCGTGCCAAAACACAATTCATGGGACTTCAACACCACGAATCAACTTGACTGTTGCGTCTTGACAACCCAGAACCGCGCAAAACACCATTCCTGGGACTTCAACACCGCGAATCAACGTACCTGATGCACCCAGACAAGCTTACATCGCTCCAAAACATGTGCTCTGGCACGTTAACCCTGAGAACCCGTGAAACTCTGACAGCTATTGAAGGCGAATGTGCGCGGCACTTTTGCGATAACCGCACCTTGAAGAAGAACCGCCCTCAATCCGTGAAGTGTTCGTAAATTGTCATGGCGATTGTGCGCGGCGCTAAGGCGAGAGTCACACTTTGACCACGGCCAGCCCTCGATCCTGAGGAAAGACCTAGAAAGAAGAAGAGGGAGGAGAAGAAGGATGTGGATGAGGTAGAAGAGGATTTGCGTACAAGGAATGCTCTGGGAAACGTGGGAAGCCCACTCCCACCAAGCCCGCGCTAACGGCGATGGTGGGTAACGGCGATGTTGGGCATCTGATTGTTGTGACACCAAGCTCGCGCAGAACAAAGTGTAGGAAATCACGAATCACACTTCCCTACATTTGAAATGTGCGAATGTGTCGAGCGAAAACGGCGCAGCGAGTTGTAGGAAAGCACGAACTACCATGTCCTACAACTGTTTTGGCCACGAACCAATCCCACCTGCAGTGCCGACACCCACACCGCCGTTACCTACATGGCCGTTAGAGCGTCTACGGCCCCAAGGGCCTGTGCCCTGCCCCTGCGCGGGGTCTGCCCGCACGACGGGGATGCGGCCCGCCATCGCGCGCCTGCGCCTCCGCCGCCGCCTGGCTGGGCCCCCAGGGGGAAGAGAAGAAGGAGGAGGAGGAGAAGGAGGAGGAGGAGGAGGAGGAGAAGGGGGAGGAGGACGAGCAGGAAGTTACGAGGCAAACCCTGGGATGTTTTCGTCTGAATGATAGAACGCAATGAAACCCGATAGACAGGCCATTGAACCAAATTAGACCAGATTATGCCCACTCTCCAGCCAGATTGCGGATTAGGCCGAATTGAACATGATTAAGCCAGGTTGGGACATTTTTCGATCAGAGAATATGAACGCCGATTCAGAACTTCACCTCCTAGGAACTGCATCCGAGTGGAGGGGGAAGAGGAGGACGAGGAGGAGGAGCAGGAGAAAGGATATGAGAAGGAAGAAAAGGGAAAACACTGCCCATCATCTGATATCAGCGACCGATGTCCAGCCGTGAGTAATGTGACCTGTGACTTCTCAGCCGCGCTTTGAAGCCAGCCGCTGCACGATATGAGACCAGGCCTGGAGCCAGCAGCGCACTGAGACGGAACCATGCGAAGCACGGCCCGAGGAGGAGGAGGAGGAGGAGGAGGAGTAAGAATAAAAAGAAGCAGGACGGGAACACCTTATGTTTGGTTTGTGGTCGCTAATCCAAGCAGCGTTCGAGCGACAGAAGAGGCGCTTCCGAGGCGAATTGAGGCACCAACGCAGGCGCGACGGGAGGAGGAGGGGGCACAGGGTGGAGAGGAGACTGCGCTCAGAACGCGCAGTCCTTGTGCGCGAGAGCCAGGGGGCGTGCACAGCGATATGGCAGTCTTTGCAGGGCCGGAGCGCGAAGCTGGAGGAGGAAAGAGGATAAAGGTGCTCAGGGACATATACATAGATACACACAAATCCTAGGATTCCCAATATTTTTCCGATATGTGCTGGACTCTCGTCCTCCCCGCCACTTGCCATATATTCCCATATCTTCCTGGGAGTCGACGATGACTTGTGTCTGTGTTTTCCCCTCCTGAGAGGAGCAGGGCGACCAGGAAGAGACAGGGACCGGAGCACACTCGGCGACACCTTCAACGCACAGCCCTAGCGGAAGGAGCTGAACGGGAGCGCCGCTGAAGCGAATTAGCCGGCATGCACGAGCGGGAAAAACAGGACGGGAGAAAAGTCAGGAACACACTCGGCGCCACCTGCCAACGCACAGCCCGCCGCAAAGGAGCCACGAGCGGCGCCGTCCACTGGCCGCGGCCCACCTCCTCCTCTTGCTGCTACTGCTGCTGCTGCTGCTGCTGCTCGTGGAGGGAGAAGGAGGAGGAGAAGGAGGAGGAGGGGGGGGAAGTGGAGGAGGAGGGGAAGGAAGAGGAAGAGAACGAGGCCCTCTTGCCTCCTCCCTCATCACTCCTCCTCTTTCTCCTCCTCCTCCTCCTCCTCCTCCTCATCATCATCCTCCTTATCCTTCTCCTCCTCCTCCCGTGGAGATCCCGCAAGGCAGATCGTGCCACAAGTCGTCGAGCTCGCCATGTGTTGGTGCTGGCTCCTCATTGCTGGTCGGCCAATCAGACTGCAGGCGCGACTTTTTATTTGGCTGCTTCCCCCGAGGCAGAAAAAGCTTCAAAGAGGGGGAAAAGAGAGAGAGAGAGAGGGAGAGATAGAGAAAGAGAGAGAGGGAGGGAGGAACATGAAGGGTCGCACCCCGGCCGCAAGCGTACAGCTGGCGCTTTCCGATCCCCCATCGACCCTCCTCCGACCCCCCCCCCCTGCCCATGGCCCTGGCAGAGGAGCTCAGGAGTTCAGGCCCGGCCAGAGGCCCTGCAGGGGGGAGGACGGGCCGAGGCACCGCCTGAAGAGTGGGCGGCCGCAGCGCAAAGCCCTGCCTTCCCTTGAGAAAGACAGTGACCGTATTGGGAGGGTCTGGGAATATACCGGGAGCGACTGTGAAATCTGCACCTTCAGCATACGCGGTAATATTGATGATACTGTTAATTTCTCCCCACCGCATTCCCCCCAAACCCGAAGATTGTCTCTCTGACCCCTGAAGACCGGGCGCCGCACAAAGTCGTGGAGCATCGCGACTGGAGCCTTCCGTATTCGACGGTACATCCCTGGTTGCCCACCAGCACTGGGCGGTCTCCTGGCGGTCTTCGGCGGTCTTTTGTTGGATTTCAGACGGTCGTCGACGGTCTTCACAAGATTCCAGCGGTGTTCTGCCATGCTTTTGCGCGAAAGCTAGATAACTGCGAGTAACACTGGGGGTCCATGATCAAACACCTGACGGAGCGCTCGACCCACATCTTTCTGCGACACCTCTCGAGCAGGCTCGATCTGCGAGGCAGCCTCCTGAAACTGCGAGGGGGTCGGCTTTGGGGGGATGCCTCCAGCGGCCATTCGGGATGACTTGGGCACACCCAGGATGCTCTCGGCGAGGCACAGCTGCTGCCAGGCATCCCAGGGCGAGAAAACCTCCAGGAACCATCGAAAACTCCTAGAACCTCCGACCCAACCGCCCGCACGGAACAACAAGCAACGCCCGTACTGGAGCATTCTCTCATGCAAGTTCTGACAAGTTGACCTGCATGGCATTCTGCCTCCCCCCTCCTCGCCGCCTCCCATTCAGCACTTGGCTGGAACGGCGAGTAGAAAGCTTTCGATTCGGGTGACCTCCAACTTTATGTTGCTCCCATCGTACTGAAGGACCACATCCCAGAAAAAAAAATCGAGCGCCCCGAACAGTGTCGAAAGAATGTCGAAAGAGAGTCGAAACAGTGTCGGACGAGTGTCTCCAAGGGCCCGACGCGTGAAAACACTAGAGATTCGGTAGTTTTCTGGTGCTCGAAATTCTTTCTGGTGGTCAAGGCTAATGTAGGTTGGAACATCATAACTCCAGCTATCCTTGCCAGACTCGCAGGGCCTTCCCCCCTGCTGGATCCCCCGCCGCCCTGGATCGCGGAGCGGGCCACGGGCGGCGCCGGAGGCGCCACCAGGGGAGCCCAGCGCGGATCCATGACATCCGCGCGGGGCTTCAGCAGTTTTGTGTGTGTACGCAATTTGCATCTGGTTGATGAGCTTGGTCAGTGCCCAGTGTGGCGGAAGGTGGAGTCTCGCACGGGACTGTTCTTGAACGACCGGGCTGATGAGCTCGCAGATTGTGTTGCGAGTGGGCTCTTCAGTGGCCTGCCAGACGAACGGAGGTGGGCAAGCTTAGCGAGCTAATCATCAAGAGAGAGGTCAGGCAGCCCCTGACTGCATCCATACACGTAATGTGCTTCTTCAGCCCACGCAAGCAACCGCTCATGAAGCAATCATTTGGACGCCCGGCATGGATACGGAACAAATGCGTACGCTGCAGAACGAAAGAAGCAGTCCACAGGGGACAGCGGCCGTTGTCGGGCAGGCGGCCTTCTGCCTCAAATGGGCACCGACCGCAGGGACGCCGAAAGCGAGTCCTGCTCAGAATGAGCGACTGCTGCGGTTGTACTTCGTACCCCTTGTCTCCGTACCCCTGTCGATCGTCCCGAAAGCAAGCCCACGGCCCCCGAGGCCTCCTTGGGCCGGCCCGAGCTGCCGCAGCTCTGCTCCGAGCACGGGCCCGCGCGAAGCCAAGACGGCTGCAGCGGGGCGGGCCGGGCGAGGCCGAACCGGGAGGGGGGAGGGGCGGCCGTCGCGGCCGGGGCGGGCGGGGAGGGAAGGGGAAGAGAGGGAGGTAGGGAAAGAGAGAGAGAGAGAGAGCGCGCAACACCATATAAATGAAAGAGAAGGCGAAAGGTAGGAGAGGTAAGAGGCGAGAAAAAAAGAGGGAGAGAGAGAGAGAGGGACTGACAGAGACAGAGAGAAAACCAAAAAAGGGAGAGAGAGAGAGAGAGAGAAATAGAGAAAGAGAGAGCGAGTGAGGGAGAGAGAGAGTAAGAGAGGGAGGGAGGGAGGGAGATACACATATATGTATAAAAAGACCGCAACACCAAAGAAGTAAAGGAAAAGGGACGAGAGGTAAGAAGCGCAGAAAAGAGAGAGAGAGGGGGGGAGAAAGACAGACAGAGACAGGGATAATACCAAACAAGGGGAGAGAGAGAGAGAGGGAGAGACAAAGAGAGAGAGAGAGAGAGGAATAGAGAGAGAGAGAGGGAGATAGAGAGTGAGAGAATGAGATCGGATACAATCGGCATTTTGTATTTTTCTTTGTCGAGAGGGGGGGGGGCAGAGCGAGAGAGAGAGAGAGGGAGGCCACGCCACCGCCAAGATGCCCATCACCACGACCACGACCACGACCACCTCCACCACGACCACCACGACCTCAGCCACGACGACACCACGACGCGCACAACCAATACCACCACCTCCACCACAACCACCACAACGGTCACGACAGCCACCACTGCGACTGCGACCTCCGCGACCACCGCGTCGACGACTACTCCCACGACATGAGCCCCCGCCCCCGCCTGCTCCCTTCCTGCCCCCTCTGCCTGGCCGCCTCTGCTTGCTGTCTCCTCCGCCGCCTCCTCCTCCTCCTTTCTCCCCGGGTGGAGGTCACCCTTTCCTTCTGGGGGTCACCGTGCCGAGCTAGCGGGAAGACGTTTCCATCTCACCCCCTGCTGCCTGTTGGCCCATCTCTGTCCTCTCTTTCAACAGAGAGAGAGAGAGGATACGAGAGATAGATCACTTAGTAGGCATTATGTACATAAACATCCTGTCTATAGATATATACAATGAAGGAGAGAGAGAGAGAGAGAAAGAGAGAGAGAGAGATAGAGACCAAAACAACATAGAGGGGGGGTAACAACAAAAGCGAGAGAGCGAGAGAGCGAGAGAGAGGGAGAAAGGGTACGCAGAGCCTGACAAGGCGTGTAAGGACTGGACGTGGTCAGTTTACGCGGAGACATGGAGGGAAATAGGGGGTGAAGGTTGGACGGGAAGCCAGAGAGGAGAAGAGAGGGACAGAGGGGTGGGCGGGAGATGGTGGCAGGATCAGGGAAGAGGAGGAGGAGGAAGGAGAGGAGTGCATAATTTCAATATAGAGG